AAAAGTTTGTGTCCAGATTAAAACTTTGCAACAATAAACTTTAATTTGATTCCAGAATTTTACATTTTCAGGGTATTATGATATTATAAATATGGTTTTAGAGCACTTTGGGTTACAGAAAACTGTAATGTATTCTAAAAGTTAATGTAAAGCTCTGAAAATTTATTGACATTTTTAATTCACAGCTCAGGGTTTGATCTGCTTGGATATTTGTGCCCCAAGTACAGTGTGTATTTGCATATAAGTCAAGTTAAACTACAAACAACAAAGATCCTGAACTGCCATGGAATAATGTACCTGCAAATCAGCTTCTGTGTTGTTTTTGTTTTACTGATTACTCCTAACAAATTGCACAAACCCAGATTTACTAGCACATTATGCAGAGACAGATATGTGTCTGTGCAGTTTTTACAGTTGTACACATATTATAAGTGGGTAAATATGGTGTACAAGTCCCTAGTGATGAAAATATTGTATATACTTGCATTTAAGTTGAGTCAGACTGCAAACAGGATAGACTCTGTAGGTGGGGCTAAGTTATTTCTGTTTTCAGTTTCTTTTATATCAATAATATCATGTATGCTCACTTATAAGTCATGTACAAATTAAACAAAACAACATAGACCCAGATCTAATAATGGCACATCAGGGTTTATGTTCTTTGAAATTGAATGAAATTTATTACAAGAGTATATATTGTGTTTCTTAGGTGTAATAGATGTAAATTTCACATAATAATGCAGTGATTTATGTCCATTTTTTTTATATAAAAAAATCGTTAGCACTTTTATGCAGTCCTCATGAATTATTTGCAAATAAAAATTGGTTTTTCATGTTGTACCACTCTGTACACTGATTAATAAAGCTCATGGAGACTGCAGTTTGTGTTTTCCAAGTTTTGTAGCAAAACAGACTGAGCATGTGGACAAGAATTAGATAAGGTTACTTAGTATCAAAATTACCTTCTATAAATAAATAAATTATTATTATTATTATTATTATTATTATTATTATTATTATTATTATTATTATTATTATTATTATTATTATTATTATTGAGTGAAAAATTTTCTTTATATTCTTTCATTTCTAGGTAGTAGGACTTTTATCAACAGTATTTTCAATTTTGGTTTTGTGATGGAGATGTGCTTGTAGTTACCACTTGACATTTTAAACCCGGATGGATACCATGTCTAATCTCAGTTCTGCCATAGCATAATAGTCTTTTATTGGTACCCAAAATTGTTCATTTTTTGTAGTAAATAAAATGACAGTTGTGAACCATGATTAGTAATTTACAATACATTTTTTTTGCATGTCTTCTTTTTCTTTTAGCAAAACATAAAATGACATAAAGTAAGTTTACAGTTAATAATATTGATTACTTAATTTGGACTGGAGTCTTTTAGTCATAAATACTGCTCCAGTGTTGTCTATGTGTGTAATTTTATTTTGTAAGGTAGTTGTCCTCATAATTGTGGTTCTTGTTAAATATATCAAAAATCATTATAATTGGGACCATGTCAATGAAAATTGTGTTCACATTAATTATGTTTACCATGATTGTTTATGTTAACCATGTTTGTATCAAGTGGAGCATTGTTGGTAATTTGTAAATTTGTTTACAGCAAGAAGAAATTTATATAGTCTTTGTTTTTATTAAATGGAGTAAACTGTAAATTTATTCAGCTGCTTGGACAACATGTATATTTTTGTTCCTGTAGCCACATGATTTTGATAGCTTTTTCTGTCAAACTAATTCCAGTTAGTATGGAATCGTTTAATTAATTGAGGGCAGTATTTCAGGTCCATCATCACATAAATGCATGAACCATTTTATGCCAGTGAACTGAATACATTTTTATATAGAACTTGTATGTTATTTGAGTGTTTATTTATTGAAAGGTCCAATGGACTTTTATTCCAAGCACAGGAGAGTTTTCTCAGCTTGCTGTGCAAAGTAGACACAAGATGAAAAAAGTGTGATTCTTATCTAAGACATTGTGTTTGTGGTCACTATCTGACAGACATCAGCTTAAGGTTTTTTATTTTCTTAACCTTCATTATTTTTAAACCTTGTTATGTACATTTATGAAACTTGATTGTTGCATTCATTTCAAATACAAAATATAGGAAACAAAGACCTATTCTTCTTGTGACTGTGACCCAGTTTCTTGATTCATGTACCACAGATGTTGATAAGACTGAAATTGTTGTATATACCTTGGCCAATTACACAGAGTTCATGATGTTCTGAAAGTCAATCTTGTCATTTCCGGTATCCCTGTTGTTGTGGAGACCAATGTTTTAGGACTTGGTGTTTACCAAGAACTAACTTTCCTTCTTCATATTACATAACCAAAGTGGCAAAGGTTTATTGGTTGGTTGTTTTGGCCTTTAACACCATTTTTCAGCACAAGATAGGCTATGTATGGTGGCCAGCATAATTGGTGAAGGAAGTGAGATGGCAGCGATCAAGTGGCAAAGCCCTGGACAACACAGGAACTGACCAGAAGGAAGGTCTTATTCCAGTTATAAGTGACTTTACTATGGCTTATTTATTTGCAGATCAACTTGTAAGCCTTACTGCATATTCTTTGACCAGATACTTACTCAGAGAGATTTTGTCTGGATGCATATACAACTTGAGCTTCAAAAGCCTCATTGCTGCAAATTAGATACAAAATAGACCAAATAATTATCCAAGAAAATTTAAACACAGCTGAATTTTTCACTCATTGACAGTACCTTGCTATTAAAACTCCTCCTAACGGGATGATCATAATTATTGGGGATGTCTATTAGATCTTGGATAAAAATGGTGTCCGATGTGGCCCAAACAACAGCCATCTTGGAAATACTTTTGTCGCTGCACCTTTTATTTGTTAAAGGTAAAACCTTGGGAAGATTCACAGACCCACAGGAAGCTATGGGGAAGTTTTCAAAACATGACAAATTTAGCTGGTGATGATCAGACATCCAGCATGGCCACTATGGCAGCCATCTTTAAGCTCTTATTATTAATATTCGTGAAGATTTCACTGATAGACTTTTGATGTCTTGTTGGTTTTCAATAAACTTGGTGCCATTCTGAAATTCAATATGGCGTTCATGGGAACCATCTTGAAAATCTTGTTATCGATACTCCTTCTGAATCAACGGTCATGTCATCTTGGGAGTTTCACTAAAAGACGTTTGCAGATGTATAGTTTGTCCTAAATTAAACTGGTGTTAATCTAATAAAGTGGTAGCTGCTTTGACAGCCATCTTATCACAACTCCATCACAACAAAAAATTATTGACGTGGGGTTGTCACTAGAAGACGTCTGATGTCCAGTTGGTCTTAAAATGAAAATGATTCTAATCTGACATCCAATATGACCATCACAGTGGCCATCTTGAAAATATATTTATTGCTACTCCTGAATGGATTTTTATATATGTATGTAGGTAATGACCTGTGTATAAATTGTAGTACTACAATTCAGCGTCACACTACCGAGCGAATCAAACAAAATTGTAAATCTTTCCCTGTTTTCAAGAACTTAAAGACAATAATCATTATCAACGAAAGGGATCTTAAAAATGATTGCAACATAAATGATTTTTACTCTTAATCAACTAACAACCAAATATTCACAAACAGTTTTTTTTATTCATGTTAATGATTTATCAGTACACTTTTCTAAGCAGAAGATCTGTATGGGATACAAAACAAAACATTACTCAAACACCAAATACAAAAAACTATACCTGTCTCAAATTACTGAACACTTATACGGGAAAATATCGCGAGAATTCCTTTACTTTATTACATCATGTCTGCTTACAGTAACTGGCTAATTACTAGGTTTGAGACATCTTTCAAATACTGACTCCCCATAAAATATAATTACTATAATCTAACATTTATTGTTCTTGTTCTGGGGCTAAGACCATTTTTCGGCACACGATAGGCTATACATGGCGGCCAGTATTAATGGTGGAGGAAGAAACCGGGAAATCCGCGGAAAGAACCACCGACCTACGAGAAACTGCATGCAAGCTTTCTCAAATATCCACATTCACCGAATCTTAGACTTGAACCCACGCAGATAGAGGTGAGATAACAGTGATTCGTAATGAAGAGCGCTTTAGACAACTAGGCCACTCGGGGCCCCTCTAACAAAGGTATAAACAGATACGTAAATATATACTGCACATACCTTAGGTAGGTGTGTATCTTTTGCATGTACACCAAGATGTTTATGAAAAAAAGAACTTACAAAATTAGTCGTCTAAATTTGAGTCATGTCCAGACAGACAAGGACTGTAGCGTTATGTTATGAAAGTGCGTTCTGTGAAATCTAGTTTGAATGTTCAAAATAATTATTGTTAACAACGGAACAAACATAGACAGACTTATGAATAAATCATTATGCTGACAACAGGGACTTGGGTGACAAACTCGTCTTGTTATCTTGTAAAAAGAGAATACTGTCTGCATATCTCGTCGCGTGCAGACGATAAGTCAAAATTAATGATTGTCCAAATAAATAAACTTAACGGTGTTTTAGTACCACATGAAAAGCACGCCAAGCTTACATTTTGTCAATCAGTTTTGGCCGATAATGTCACAACTATTCAACCCGAACTATCCAAAGCCCATGTATTTCGCATGTACTTGTGCAATCGAAACGGACATAACATCATCTCTTTTTGCAACACCTTAAAATTAAATAATCAAAGAATACAATAGCTCGACGAGGAGCACGCTTTCTCCATTAAGAAAATTATAGAATCACAATTGGTTCGTAAATATCAATGTTAATTGGTATTCATGGTGATATATAATCTGCGAACGAAGAACGGATACAAATGGACCAGATTAGGCATTGCAATTAATTGCTTGTTAGAAATCTTGCATGAGTTGCCTGAACTGTTTTGACAAAGAAAGTACTACCATGGAAAAAATACTTGCATTTTCTGGAAGCACACTTGAATTCAGTCTTGTATGAACCGTTCCGATGGCCTAGTGGTTAGAGCGTCCGCCTCTGATGCTGGAGGTTGTGGGTTTTATCCTCGGTCGAGTCATACCAAAGACTTACAAAAATGGTACTAGCTGCTTCTCTTGACGCTCAGCATTAGGAGGTTAGTGTTAGGACTGGTCGGCCTGGTGTCAGGATAATGTGACTGGGTGGGACATCATTCTACATGTCTGTGGCATGATGCCCCAGTGCTAGACACGCTGTAGACATCGTAGCGATATGACTGAAAAATTGTTAAAGCTACGTTAAAAATTATAAACACCACCACACATCCCCAGTCTTGTATGCTATGTCTATATATTTAACTGATGTGTTTGTGTGTGTGTGTGTGTGTGTGTGTGTGTGCGTGTGTGTGTTTGTATGTGTGTGTGATTTGAATTTGTAGCGTAGTATTAAAAATTTTCAGTGATATCGCTACGATTATAATGTCTAGCACTGGGTCATCATGCCGCAGACATATAGCATAATGTCCCATCCAGTCATATTCTCCTGAAACCAGGCCGACCAGTCCTATCACTAACCTCATAATGCTGGGCGCTAAGTGAGATATCTGTACCATTTTTATAAGTTTTTGGTATGACTGGGCCGGGATTCTAACCCGCCACCTACCGCATCCAAAGCGGACGCTTTAACCACTAATCCACCGGAAAGGTCTTTGTTGTTGTTGTTGTTGTTGTAGGTTTTAACGCCATTTTTCAGCACAAGATAGGCTATACATGGCGGCCAGTATTAATGGTGGAGGAAGAACCCTGGAAAACACAGGGAAGAACCACCGACCCACGAGAAGCTACTGGCAGGCTTTCTCACTTACCCACGTTAGCCAAGTCTGGACTCGAACTCACGCAGACAGAGGTGAGATGGCAGTGATCTGTAACGGTCAGCGCTTTAGACCACTCGGCCACTCGGGGCCCAGGAAAGGTCTTTGATATACGGAACTCACAGTATGTAAAAGTAATATATATATATATATATATATATATATATATATATATATATATATATATATATATATATATATATATATATATATATAAATAAATATATATATATATATGGGAACTTGGTATCAATGTTGAGCATGAATGATATGAGACACTTTAATTACATTTGAGGAGGCTGAACAAGCCGGAAATTGGTAATTTCATTTAAATGTTTCGCTTTCCTGTAAACCACGCAGTAGTTAAGGAGAAGAAAATCGGCTCAGTGGGGATTGATCATCAGCGTGCGTGATCTAATTTGTAACGATAACTTGATTACTCAAGTTAGTGCATTGTGCTTGCATTGTGCTGTTGATTGAATAAAACCACCGACCTTTCCTTGCTACCAATTAAAAACCAATATATTCTTGCTGAGATCTCTACTCCTTCCCTCCTACCACATCTACGTGTATATAAAACACACCAGGCTGTGAAATATTCCGCAACATTATTTATGTTATTAGTTTTAATTTATATTATACAACTAATAGCGTAGATGCATTTTAATGTAAGTACCATTCCAGATCTATACTGTTGCAGGTTTATGTTAGTTGTACAGGTGATAATCAGGTAATTTCAAGTCTGCAACACGAAATGGATACTCCAGGACAAAAAGAGATTCATGATGACAGAACATGCCCACACGCACACACACACACACACACACATACACACATTTTTAAATAGTACTCGATAGCGAAAAGGCTGATATATACATGTAAACGCTTTGGAAAGTTTGTGTGGTTCACATTTGATAGACATCTGACGTTCAGTCCTTCATTTCTTATGTAAAGAATTTGAAAATGACTGCGAAAATGTTTCACGCCACATTCATTTAAATATTTGTTCAGCCTATCCAAAAAGTATCTAATTTAAGGATTTTCTCCCTGGTCATTTTAGATTCAATCCAGAAGCCGAAGATATTATTTTGCGTCATTGAAATACTTTTGATTTGATTATTTTCACTTACCAATATGTACCAATCGTACATTAAGACAAGATGGTATCAGCAAAAAATATGATATCAAGAATTAAATGTGAGTCATTCACATATTAAATTTAATTGGAAAGCAAAAATCTACTTGATGCAACATTTATTCTATATTGCTCAAAACGGTAAGCAATAATGACTTGTTTGTTTGTTTAAGAAATAAAAATGTTAATTTGTATTTCCATACCGGATAGACAAAACACCTTTGCACCCCACTAACTTTGGTAGTGGTAAATGGTGGGTTTTTTTTTTTGCAGGTGTATTAAAATTATAACAAATACAATCAGAAACTAAAGCAGTCATCGAAATACAAAAACTAAGAAAAATTTGGAGCTGTTGATGGACTTTCGTGTTTAGCAATGAACCACGAAAAACAGTCTAGTCATATTGTTTAAAAAAAACTCCGCGTTTTGAGTTAATCAAGTTCTTCATCAAGTGAAGAAACGGCTTTCATTCGCAAAACAAATATCAAACATAAAAACCAAGAGAAAACCAACATCGACAGAATGACAGAGTGGAATCTCCAAAACAGTTAAATAATAGATGGAAAAACATAATAGTTGTAACGGTCTCAAAATAGGTAACCAGTATGTCTTTTTGTATTGCTATCTAATTATTAGAGCTTTTACAAAAAAAAAGATTGGGTGATCGTATTTATCGAACATAGACCTTGCCTGGTTTATCTTGCTGCCAAGGTATGGACTAATGACCATGCAAGATAGTATTATATCAGCAAAAAGTGTTATATCCTTTTGACGTTATGCGCGCAGGAGGGAGTAAAGGAAGCTGTCTCGAGAGTTGTTGAAACATGTTACTGAACAAGAGACACAATAATAATAATAATAATAATAATAATAATAATAATAATAATAATAATAATAATAATAATAATAATAATTCATGTAAAGAATTGCGTATGGTCGATGCCTAACAGGAATTTTTAAAGATTTCATTGGGAAGATTAGATTTGGTTATTAAGCCAAATTCATCATGAGTTTTAGCTGCTGTATCGGGTATCGTTCCTCGCTTGTGCATTCTATATCGGTTCACCCCGTTTTAGATTCTGTTGTAGCATCTTAAGGGATCATACGGAATGTACTGTTGAGTTGTAGTGGCTGCCAAGTTTCGTCTTGATTTTGTTGCGATTGTGGATTATGTGGATATTCATTAGTTTTCTGAAATACAATGCACTGCCAGAATACTGAGTTACACAGATCTTTTCTTTTTCGTGTCAAGAGATAAATTCGATTTTGGGTTCAACATCCTAATTTCTGATTAATAGGAAAGGTAAATCCTGTCGTCGAACGCCTGAACGATTAGATCTCGAGTACATGTGTTCAGATTAGGCAGCGCTTGTTTGTTTTGTTTTGTTTGGGGGTGGGGGTAGCCGTTTATGCCTGAATCTGTGGTCATATTTTAAGTTACCACGGCATTTACAGATAGTGTTTTAGATTTATAGGGTCTATGGTACGCAACCAAGATTTTTTAAAAATATGCCCATTCGTAAGCTCAGTAGGATCGTTCTGATGCCAATAATTTTTAATGAGCTGTTTGCATTCTCTTCTTTATCCCCTTGATCTAAAATGCAGTTTGAGCTCTCAAAGTCTCTTTTCAAAGGTAGCCAGCTTTGAGCAACTGCGTTTTCGGAACGCACAAGTTGCAAGAAAGATCTTTTCTGATTACCTGCTTCGGTTTTCAGCTTGTTAGGGTAAGATACTGGTAAGAGTCATTAGGGCTGCAATACATGTCACTTTCTACGTACCCTCCTAGAGGGTACATTGATTATCCAATAAAATCTTGGACATATTTGACTCTAATCGTTGAAGATCGATCTGATGCAAATAATTTTTAATGAGCTGTTTGCATTCTCTTCTTTATCCCCTTGATCTAAAATGCAGTTTGAGCTCTCAAAGTCTCTTCAAAGGTAGCCAGCTTTGAGCAACTGCGTTTTCTGATCGCACAGGTTGCAAGAAAGATCTTTTCTGATTACCTTTTTCGGTTTTCAGCTTGTCAGGGTAAGATACTGGTAAGAGTAAATAGGGCTGCAATACAGGTCACTTTGTACGTACCCTCATCGAGGGTACATTAAATATCCAAGAAAACATTGGACATATTTGACTCTAATCATTGAACGTGGTTGAGGAATTTAACAAAAAGTTTGAAATTGTCGCTCGCTTTGAGTCATTTTTTATTGTATGTCGACAATGAACCTGGACCAACTTAGAGGTCTATGGGGTGTCTCATTCAGTAATGTTTGCTTTAGTGTTTTAGTGAAAATATTGGCATTTGAAGGTGCCATTTTAGTTCCATTAAGTTTTATAAGACGTTTTTGTTACTGAATTGTTAACTAAAGAGTTGGTAGTAGAGTGAAGATCAGGTCGACCATACCATGCCATCTTGCAGGCTGTGACACCTTTTTCGTGTGGGATGTTGGTGTATAAGAACATGCATCCATTGTGATTAGACGATGATTGGCTGGAAGGTTGATTTTAAACGTTTTGTTTAGGCAGTCAGCAATACCTTCGATGTATGAAAGCAGTATTTACAAGAAAAGCCAAAGTTGATAATAAACGAAATCAGAATTTTCTTTCAAATGAATAGCTGTATCCGGAAATATTCGACCTCTCTATGTTACCTTTTTACTGTATTTTATTATGTATATCAAATCTATCAGCTGAGAGAAATCACATCAATATTTTGTCACCAATGTGTCGTTAGAGGTGTGTGTGTGTGTGTGTGTGTTTCAATGTCTGAGCACGGTTTCAGAGTATTCTGGTCTTGAGTTATGACTTAGTTTCTTGTAAAACGTCCTGTCTGGAAATGCAACCAGGCGTATTTATGACAACAACGTAGCACTATTCATGACAACAACGTAGCACCATTCATGACAACAATGTAGCACCACTCTTCTGCTGGCTTAATGAGCATATTTTCCTTCTAGCGCAGTTTTTCTTTTTTATGACTGCCATTCATGTGAGGTTAAATAATTCGTTTTTGTATGGCTCTGTGCGAACTAATTTTACTTTCTACTGCGAATAAAAATGGCTCTCTAGCTATGTCTTTACTAGGATGTGATAAAACTCACTTTTTGGAGAGAATCCATTAGTTTTTTGTTACTAACGCTGCATTATCCTTGAGCGTCTTTCCCCGACACTTTAAAATTATATTTCCTAACCTCATGCATTTGATTTGTCGCATTTTGTTATAGAAATCAACGATGAGCTGTAACTATTTATTTAGTACCTGTATTTACCAACTCCTTAGCTTGAGTTAACACACACTTAGAAAAAGATTTACATTTAAAGGTTGTACTTTATTAGGCAGAATTATTTTGTTGGATATGGTTACTGAAAAATAAAATAAGTACGATAGAATACAAGAACTCAAAATAAGAGCTGGCGAGTACACAGGGGTTGAGAAGCTCAATGAATCGAGTTGGATAATAAATCTATTTGTAACTGTCTCGCAAAGATAATAATTATTAATCTTGCACCCGTCTGCCAAGATCACACAAATATCGTTATTTCAATTTATGTGAAGTTCATGGCTATCTCACTCTTTTCTCAGTGTGCATCATAACCATCTCTATTAAATTTTAAAACCTATTAGCACAAATACAGACTGCAATTACAATTACCTGCCGAAAATGACATAGGATTTCCCTTAGGAAATCAAACAATA